ACATTGGTATGAAGGCCAAATTGGTGAGTTACAGATTTAAATATTATATGATATATATATTATATTATGCAGATTTAATTCCACTAAGAGCTTTCATATGATCTGACAGGAACTAATAGGCAACATAAATAAGTTTTCACTTTATGAAATAAGCATTGCTTTTCCTAACAATAAAATTAATATGCATCTTGGGGCTGGGAAGGTGGCTTAGTGACAGAGCACTTGCCTTGCATGCCTGAGGCCCTGGGTTCGATTCCTCAGCACCACATAAGCAGAAAGAAAAAAGCCGGAAGTGACGCTGTGGCTCAAGTGGTAGAGCGCTAGCCTTGAGCTGAAGAGCTGAGGGACAGCACCCAGGCCCAGAGTTCAGGCCCCATGACCGGACCCCCCCCCCAAAAAATTAATATGCATCTTAAATATGTTGAAAAATTATCAGCCTAAAACACTGATATATAAAGTCATTACTTAAAATTATCGCTTTTTAAAAATATTTTATATTCTTAAAATTAAGTTAGGGCCAATTTGCCTTAATGTAGTTTTATAAATTTACGTTCATAGTTTATTGAAAAGTCGATGTGTTTAGTTATTGAACTAAAAATGATAAGAAGGGTAGGTATGGTGGCTCAAGCCAATCTTAATTACTTGGGAGGCTGTGAACAGGAGGACCAGTCCAGATGAAAAGTTTGAAAGACCCAATCTCAAGCAATAAAATGCTGGATGCCCCTCAGCACCAGTGGCTCATGCCTGTAAACTTAGTGAAACAAGTATACCGTGTCTAAGTAACCTGCCTTGTCCTCACAGCCATCCTGGTGCCTTGCTGGGTGGAAGGACTTTTCACCCAGTTCTGAAAAGCCTAGATGTAAGGCAGGCCATTCTTTGAATTGCAGATGTGACATGCTGAACTTTCCCCAGGAAAGTTTTGCTACAGAGAATGCTTTCTCTTCATGGTTCTCTTATATGGTTTGCTTTGCTTAATGCTTTCGTTGGGTTTAGGACCCACCCCAAACATGTGTTTTTTGCCTTTAAAAACAAATTGTTTAAATAGGGATACCAATGGACCCATCACAACAATGAGATGTACAAAATGCTATGTTGAAAATAAATTTTACAACTTTGGTGGCGGGGGTGGGGGTGAGGGGGAAATGTAGTCGTGGAGATGGGAGGGCAGGGATGGTAGGGGAAAAACAAAGGAGGAGGCAACAATTCTTGATAAGAAATGTACTTATTACCTTGCTCATGTAATTGTAACCCCTCTGTATGGTATTTTCACAAAAAACTTATTAATAAAAAAAAGTTTTGTACAAGCAACTTTCTGGGCTGCAGGTATTTGGGACAGGAGACCACTTTTAGTTTCTGGCTTTCCAAGAGTCCCAATTCACCCTCTCAAAACATAGCTTCTCTGTATCTCATGATTGAAGTCCCACTTAACACTTGCTACTCAGGAAACTAAGATCTGAGGATCATAGTTTGAAGTCAGCTTGGGCAGAAAAGTCCATGAAACTCTTATCTCCAATTACTCACCAAAATGCTGGAAACAGAGCTGTGCCTCAAGTGGTAGAGTGTGCTAGTCTTGAGCAAAAACACCCCCAGGAATAGCACGTAGGTCTTGAATTAAAGGCCCAGGAATGCACATGCACATGTGTGCACTTGCACACACACACACACACACACACACACACACACACACACACACACACACAGAGCTAGATACAGTGGTGTGAACCTGCCATCCCAACTATGAGGTAAATACGAATACAAGGATCATTATACAGGGGGATCTTGGCATAAAAATGAGGGCCTTTTTGAAAAGTAACAGAAGCATCAAGGGTTGGGAGTCTGGCTTAAGTTGTGTAGTCTTTGCTTGGCAAAGAGGAGGCCCTCAATTCAAACCCCAAATACTGAGAGAAGAAACTTGGATAATTTAGGTGTTTAGATAAATGTCAATATGATCTGCTAAGGTGGCATACATCTATAATCCCAGTTCTTGGGAGACAGAGGCAGGAAGATTGCAAATTCAAGGCTAGCCTTGGCTATATAGACCCTATGTCTAAAAAACAAAAAGAATACAACAAACAAGAGTCCCATATCTAGGGACTGGGAAGGTGGCTCAGTGGTAGAGTGCTTGCCTTGCATGCCTGAGGCCCTGGGTTCGATTCCTCAGCACCACATAAGCAAAAAGAAAAAAGCCGGAAGTGATGCTGTGGCTCAAGTGGTAGAGCGCTAGCCTTGAGCTGAAGAGCTGAGGGACAGCGCACAGGCCCAGAATTCAGGCTCCACAACCAGACCCCCCCCCAAAAAAGTCTCATATCTAAAATATACTTAGAACTCAAAAACTAAATCCCCCAACAACAAATCCTCAAAGAAACAACTGTCCCATTAATAAGTGGGCTAAAGACTTAAAAAACTTCTCTGAAGAGCAAATAAGAATGGCTAATAGACACATGAAGAAATGCTCAACTTCTCTGGCCATAAGAAAAATGCAAATCAAAACAACATTGAGATTTCACCTCACCCCAGTTAGAATGTCTATAATCAAGAAATCTAATAACAACAGATGCTGGAAGGGATGTGGCCAAAAGGGAACCCTACTGTATTGGTGGGAGTGTAAACTTGTTCAACCACTTTGGAAAGCAGTATGGAGGTTCCTCAAAAGACTCCACAAAGAGCTCCCCTATGACCCAGCAATCCCACTTTTGGGCATTTACCCAAATGTTCACAAACAAGACCACACTAAAGCTATCAGCACGACTATGTTTATTGCAGCATTATTTACCATTGCCAAGATATGGAACCAACCCAGATGCCCCTCAGTAGATGAATGGATTAAGAAAATGTAGTATGTATACACAATGAAATTCTATGCCTCCATTAAAAAGAATGACATTGCCCCATTTGTTAGGAGGAAATGGAAAGACTTGGAAGAAATTATATTAAGTGAAGTAAGGCAGGCCCAAAGACACATAGGTCCCATGGTTTCCCTTATTTGTAATATCTAGTATATGTCTGAGTCAAGCAGAAAAGGTCAGATAAGTTGATTTTAGGGAAATGAAGCCTAAGATATGTATTCAAATGTTTTTTTCTTTCATGTGATTGTTTCTAACACATTTATATGATTATTTCTTTGTTGCTTTGTATGTCCCTCCCCCACGGTATAACCCCTGTTTTCACTGTATTTGATGTTGGTATAATTTGTAGAGGGGAAGGGAAAAACAAATCGTTTAATAGGGATACAGGTGGACCCATTGCAACAATGAGATGTACAAGTCGTTATGTCGAAAACGAACTTTACAACTTTGGTGGGGGGGGGGGGAGGAGGGTTGGGTGGGGGGAGCAGAGGGAGGATGGGATGGGAAGGAAAACAAAGGAGGAGGCAACAATGCTTGATAAGAAATGTACTCATTATCTTGCCCATGTAATTGTAACCCCTCTGTACAGTATTTTCACAATTAAAAAAAAGAAGAAAAAAAGAAAGCAAAAAAAAAAAAAAAAAAGACTCCACATTGAGCTTCCCTATGACCCAGCAATCCCACCTTTGGACATTTACCCAAATGATCACAAATAAGGCTAGACTAAAGCTACCAGCACAACTGTGTTTATCACATCATTATTCCCCATAGCTAAGATATGGAACCAACCCAGATACCCCTCAGTAGATGAGTGGATCAAAAAGTGTGGTATATTTATACAATGGACTTCCATGCCTCCATCAGAAAGAATGACATTGCTCCATTTGTTAGGAAATGGAAAGACTTGGAAAAAATTATACTAAATCAAGTAAGCCAGGCCCAAAGAAACATAGGTCCTATGGTTTCCTTTATTTGCAATAACTAGTATAAGTCTAGGACAAGCAGAAAAAGTCAAAAGCTATGTACATATGACCATATAAGATGATTTTAAGTAAAATGAACCCCAAGATAGGGACACAAGTGGTTTTTTTCTTTCTTGCTATTTTTTTTTAACATATTTAAAATGTACTATGTGATTTTTTTTTTGCTTCTCTTGTATGTTCTTCCCCTACCGTATAACCCTTATTTTCACTGTATTTGATGTCAGTGCCCTGCATCTTGTATATACATTTTTCTAATTTGGAGAGGAGAAGGAAAATAACAAAATGCTGAAATAAGGATACGGGTTGAACCATTGTAACAATGAGATACACAAGACACCACGTTGAAATCAAACATTACAACTTGCGGGGGGGGGGGTGTAGTTGGGGAAGTGGGAGGGAAGAGATGGTAGGGGAAAAGCAAAGGAGGAGGTAACAATGCTCGATAGGAAATGTACTCATTACCTTACTCATGTAACTGTAACCCCTCTGTATTTTTACAATAAAAAACATAAAAAAAAAGAAAAAGGAGAAATTAGTAACTAGTGTACACTGTCACCTGGAAATAAGGTTGGTCCTTATTTTTTTGGGGGGAAGGGTGTAGGTGGGAGGGTGGAGGGCAGAACTGGAGCTTGTACCTAGGGCTTTATGCAAATACTCTACCACTTTATTACACAATTCTCCATCCTTAGTGAATTGTCAGCTACAGTTTCATGTTTGTGCCCAGGCTCACCTTTGGCAGTGATCCTTCTGTCTTCCACCTGAGTTGCTGGGATTATAGGCAAGTGCCACCAGGTATGGCAGACTGGCAGACTGACAATTTTGAAAGCTTAAGCAATTTTTTTTTGTCTGTCATGGGGCTTGGACTCAGGGCTGAGCACTATCCCTGGACCCTTTTTCTCAAGGCTAGTACTCTATCATTGGAGCCACAGCACCATTTCTCGTTTTCTGGTGGTTAAATGGAGATAAGAGTCTCACAGACTTTGCTGTCTGGGCTGGCTTTGAACAATGATCTTTAGATCTTAACCTCCTGAGTTGCTAGGATTGCAGGTGTGAGCTACCAACATCTGGCTTCAGCAATTCTGTATATACTGCAGTGCTTTAAATGTCAGGAGGAATTCCAAATAGTCTATCATTTAGTATTTTTATTTGATTAGCACTTTTGAGGCTTGAGCTACTGATGTTTCTCCTCAGTTTCAGGTGGAAGTGTATTTGGTTTCATTCGCCCTTTGAAAGAAGCCATGATAGTCTCCCCACCAAGGTACTTAACCATGGCAACTGTCATTTTCGGAGCCATTATTCTAGAGAAAAACAGAAAAAAGTTATGATCCTCTGAGCAGTCAAAGTGATGGCTTCTCAGAGATGGAGTGCAACTTCCACACTGGTGATCTGCACTGTGTGTTACTTAAGGCAAAGTATCACAGAGAGTGCTACTGTGTTGCAGCTGAGGGCGACATGGTCCTCAACTCCAACGCCTATTATCTTTGACATCCTTTAAAATCATTTGATGCATAACTCATCCTGGTCTTTAACAGTCTAATTGACCTCTGATTTACTCCATATATTTTAATGCATAGACTAAGAACAGTAGTGAAAACTAGTAAGAAAACCAGACCAATCAAGATTATATATACATATATATGATTATATATAGGTTAGAAATAAGGAAGCAATTCCAACCCGTAGTTTTAAATGTGGTCTTGACTATTTCAATGTGCACCTGACGTTTGGAATCAGTTTGCATCAGTTCCTGAGGTAGAGGCTATGGTTGCTGATCATTTCTGCTTACTTCAGCCCCGTTCTCTTCAATCCAACTTAGCAAACATGTTTTCCATGCTTGTAATCTGTTAGGTCCTATTCTAGGCAGCAACAGGGAGCAGGAGACATTCAGAAAAATCCATTCTTCCCCCAAGAAGCAAGCAAACTGGCTAGTTACCTGTGTCCTAAGTGATAAGAAAGGCAGGAACAGGTATGATGGGTTCATGCAGTGAGGGCCTTTGTCCTACCTGAGAAATCAGGCCAGCTACAGCTGGATGGAATTCTGGGTAGTTGTACATAGTAAAGAAAGCACAGTGTTTGCCAATAATATAATGCCAGTTGTTCTGGAACTTTTAAAATATCTACATGATGTCACAGGTGGAAAATTCCACACCTAATCTCAGGTAATAGGTCACAACCAAAATGCAGGTGGCACTGAATAGAACAGAGTATATGATATTGCTTCCAGTGTGGGCATGTGAGGTGTATGGGAAACAAATGAATTTCATATGTAAACACTATGTAATACCATGATGTCATTATGTAAATGATATGCAAAATAATCCCAAGTCTGAAAAAACCTGAAATCCAGAACACTTCTGGCCCTAAGCATTTTGGGTAAGGGAAGGCATAATATGCTAATGTTCAGAGTGTCAGCTCTGTAAGCAGGTTGTTTGAAGCTTTATTCCAGCTAATTTTAGCTGTTTAGCCATGCAAAAAATTCTTTTTGGTTTTTCTTAATGTAATATAATTCACGTGAGGCTTTAGTGCAGTAGTTGGGACACAGTAGGTACTCCATAAATTTAAATGTGAACCTTGGCAGAATCTACCCTCTAGTACCCAGATCTCATTGCATGGGGTTTTAAGAAGATAAATAAAATGTTGATTTTTTTTTCAGTCATGGGGCTTGAACTCAGAGCCTGGGTGCTGTCCTTGAACTCTTTTGCTTAAGGCTAGTCCTCTACCACTTTGAGCCACAGCTCCACTTACAATTTTCTGGTGATTAATTGGGAAGAAGAGTTTCATCTCATAGCTTTTCCTGTCTGGGCTGGCTTCAGATACTGATCCTGAGATCTCAGCTTCCTGAGTAGCTAGGATTAGAGGTAGAAACCACCAGCACCTAGCCTGAAATGCGGAATTTTTGACTACGTTTATTTTTTTCCAGAAACGCTTAAACCTTTAGGTTTTTTTTGGTTTTAAAACAAAATTGTATTAATAAAATTATGTAATCTCTTAAAATCCAAAAGAGGCTTGTGTTGGATCATGCCTGTAATCACGGCACTTGGGAGGCTAATGCAGAGAATTATGAGTTTGAAGCCTGCCTATGCCCATAGTGAGGTTGATGTCAGCACAAGTGATTGATCACACAGCTCAATCCTCCAACTCAAAACAATACACCTTCCCCCCTTAAGCAAGACTAAAGTAAAACTCCCACAAAGTCAACGAAACAAGAAATAGTGCCTAAACAACAACATATAACCCCAAACCTTCCAAACTATTTGTGCTATTGTTTTGTTTCTGTGTTGGATTAGCAAGGCCTTTCTCTGCAAGGTCTAAATAGTTGCTAAAGTTTGCCAAGTTTTTAAGTAAACAGCACAGCTATTAATATGCCAATAAATTGTGCTTGTACTATTAAAGTTCTCCTTCCTATCCTTTTAAAAAAAAGCAGCAAATTACTTTCTACATCAAAGAATAGCAGTGACTGGACAATTTGTTCACAACTAACCTAAAAGATATTGAGTCATAATTAACTTACTGTTTAAGATACAATATGAAACTTGCAGATTTGGGTAAAGTGCAGTACACTTTTTCCTGTAAAATAGCATCAATAATCTTTTGGGCTACATACTTAGGTTCCAGTATAGGTAACAGGAGAGGATACCTGGAATGACAAAAATTACATTATAAAAGTGTCATCATGAGCATTGATTGTCACACATAGATATGTAATTGTAATATGTAGCTGTAAATTGAACCAAAATTAGTAGTTCTGTGTTTTACATTCCCCTTGTGATTTTTTTTTCTGGTTTTAGTATCAAGGTAATATTGTATTCAACAAGAAAGTTGGGAAGTGTTCAGTCATCTTGTTTTGGGAATTTTTCAAAAAATTGATATTTAATCCCTTTTCAGATGTTGGATAAAATTTCTTAGGAAGCTGTAGGGATGAGGAGATTTTGTGTGTGATTTTTTTTTTTGTCAGTCGTGGGGCCTGAACTCTGGGCCTGGGCCTGGGCACTGTCCCTCAGCTCTTCAGCTCAAGGCTAGCACTCTACCACTTGAGCCACAGCACCACTTCTGGTTTTTTCCGCTTATGTGGTGCTGAGGAATCAAGCCCAGGACCTCATGCATGCCAGGCAAACACTCTACCACTGAGCCACCTTCTCAGCCCTGTGTCTGAAGTTTTTAGGTTACTGATTGAATATTTCACTTCTATTTATGATTTCCTTTGTAAGTAGTTAAACTCAGGTCTATGTCCCTAGGAATTTTTCCATTTGATCGAAGTCAAGTTTATTGGCAAATGAGCATCCATATTTCTTATGGTTAGTTTTTTTTAGCAGAACAGTATTAATGTCCTTTTATTCTTTTTAAAATATATTTTTAATTGTAAAGATACTGTGCAAAGGGGTTACAGCTACATGAATAAGGTAATGAGTACATTTCCTATCGAGCATTGTTTCCCGCTCCTTTGTTTTTCCCCTACTATCCCTTCCCTCCCTACCTCTCCAACTCCTCTCTCCCTTCATACTCCTCCGAAGCTGTAAAGTTCATTTTCAATATAGTGTTTTGTACATCTCATAGTGTTTTGTTATAATGGGTCAACCTGTATCCTTATTTCAGCATTTTGTTATTTCCCTTCCCCTCCTCAAATTAGAAAAATATATATACAAGATGCAGGATACTGGAATCAAATACAGTGGCAACAGGGATTATGCCATGGGGGAAGAACATACAAAAGAAACAAAAAAAGCACACAGTATATTATAATTACATTAAAAACAACAGCAACAAAGATAAAACTTCTTGTGTCCCTATCTTGTTGTTCATTTTGCTTAACATCATCTTCTATGGTCATATGCACATAGCTGTCCTTTTATTCTTGATTTTACTAGTTTGAGTGTTTTCTTTTTCTTTTCTTGTTTGTCATTCTACCTGAAGCTTCATTAATTTTGTCAGTCTTTTCAAAGAACTAGCTTTTAGATTTATTGATTTTTTTCTCTAGTTTTCCATTCTGTATTTATTTATGGTATAATCTATGTTATTTGTTCCTTGTCATATCATATCTAGGCTTTAAGCCTCCCCTATGCCCTACCCTCACCCCTAGCCCTTCCTGCCCAGGTTGCTAGCTGGTGGTACTATTTTTTCCCCAATAGTCTGTTTTCTGGTCTGATATGAGTAAACTCAGTGGCCAAGGCAAGGAATGAGAGATGCCTGTCTCTGACTTTGACCGCCACCTGTATTATGAGGGTGACAACTCTCCTCTGACTACCTCATCCACATTGACACTTTTATTTTTTTATTTGTTGAGGCATAAAATGAATATTTATCTTTTCAAAATACAACTTTCAACACTACTGACATGTCATTTACAAAGTACAGTCATTAAATATTCTCCACTGGCCTTGCTCAATCAGTGCATTCTCTTACCTTCAATTGAGTTCAAGGCAGAGCATGTTTGTATTAGTGTATGTACCACCACCATTACCACCACAAAAATAAATAAAGAATAGACCACCTCTGCTTATACATAGCAGCTCAAATCCCTTTCCTTTCCTTTCCTTTCTTTTCCTTTCCTTTTTCCTTTCCTTACTTTCCTTCTTTTGCTTCCCTTTCCTCTACCCCTTCCCCTCTTCCTTTCTTTCTCCTTCCCTTTCCTTTCATCTTTCTGAATGGTCCACATATACTCCAGTACTGCTATCTGCTCATGGACACCACAGAATGAGAGTTGTCCCCAGGAGTCAGCAACTGCAGTTAGACCTGACTTAGTTACAGGAGGTCTTACACACCTATGGCCTACTATTTATTCATTTGTTCACTACTACTTATATCAACTCTTTGCAAACATTTAGCATAAACACAGTATTTACAGTAGTACAGTTTTCAGTTCAACAACATTGAAAACAGGAAAAGGGAGCAATAGACAATAGGAAGGCCAGAGGTAGTGGTGGGGGATATTAAAATAAATCCCTAATTCTCCTAAAAACAGAAACAAGGCAAGGATACCTACTCTCTTCACTCTTCTTCAATATAGTTCTGGAATCCTTAGCCCAAGCAATAAGGCAAGAAAAAGACATTATAGGGATCTGCATTGGGAAGGAAGAAGTTAAACTATCCCTTTTTGCAGATGACATGATATTATACCTCAGTGATCCCCAAAACTCTACCCCCAAACTCTTAGAACTTATAAATCACTTTGGCAAAATAGTAGGATACAAAATTAACCCACAAAAATCAGTTACCTTTCTGTACACCAACAATGTACAAGCAGAAAGGGAAGGAAACAACCCCATTCACAATAACCTCAAAAAAATATCTAGGAATTAACCTAACCAAAGATATAAAGGAACTATTTAATGAACTATAAAAGCCTAAAGAAAGAAATCATAGAGGATGCCAGGAAATGGAAAGACCTTCCATGTTCTTGGATAAACAGAATTAATATAGTGAAAATGGCCATTCTGCTGAAAATTGATATACAAATTCAATGCAATTCCCATTAAAATCCCAATGACATACTTTACTGAAATAGAGGGAAACAATCTAAAAATTCATATGAAACAACAAAAGACCTAGAATAGCCAAAAAAAATTCTAGGCAAAAAAGACAACACGGGAGGGAGCTTGATGCCGGACTTCAAACTCTACTATAGAGCCATAATAACAAAGACAGCTTGGTACTGGCACAAAAACAGACCCAAAGACCATTTGAATAGGTTAGAAGATCCAGAAATAAAATAATATAGTCAGCTGATATTTGACAAAGGAGCCAAAGACATACAGTGGAAGAAGCAGAGCCTCTTCAACTACTGGTTGAAAACTGGGCAGCTACATGCAGAAAACTAAAAGTGGACCCCAGCTTGTCACCATGCACTACCATCAACTCAGAATGTGTTAAAAACCTTGACATCAAATCTGAAACTCTGAAACTACTGCAGGACAGAGTAGGAGAGACACTTGAACTTATAGACACAGGCAGGAACTTCCTGTCACAACAAATTGGAGAGAGACTCGACAAATGGTGCTACCTTAAAATAAAAAAGTTTCTGCACAGATAAAGATATAGCAACCAAACTAGAAAGACAGCCAACTAATTGGGAAAAAATATTCACAAGCAATATAACAGATAAAGGCCTAATATCTAGTATATACAGGGAACTTAAGAAACTAATCCCTCCAAACCTAACAAACCAATTACTAAATGGGCAAGGAAACTAAAGAGAGACTTCTCAGAAGAGATAAAAATGGCAAAGAAACACATGAGGAAATGTTCATCCTCCCTGGCTGTAAAGGAAATGCAAATGAAAACAACCCTGAGATACCACCTTACCCCAGTTAGAATGGCCCACATCCTAAATTCAGCCAAAGACAAAAGCTGGAGGGGATATGGAGAAAGAGGAACCCCTATTGCACTCCTGGTGGGAATGTACACGAATACAACTACTTTGGAAAGCAGTCTGGAAGTACCTCAGAAAGCTAAATATAGACCTCCCCTATGACCCAACCATACCACTCCTAGGCATCTACCATGAGCAACAGGAACACAAGGACATGTGCACCTCCATGTTCACTGCAGCAATGTTCACAATAGCCACAATATGGAAACAACCCAGATGCCCTGCTACAGATGAATGGATCCAAAAATTGTGGTACCTATACACAATGGAGTATTATGTAGCCATTAGAAAGGATGAAATAATAACATTTGCAGGGAAATGGATGGAACTAGAAAAAATGATTTTGAGTGAGGTAAGCCAAGAGCAAAGAGACAAATGGCACATGGTCTCCCTGATATGTAGATGTTAAATCCAAAATGCAAGGAGGTATGACAAAATAAACAGGACTGGAGAAACAAAGGACCTCCACTCATCTTTTTGTATCATTACTAAATGACCTCATGTTGTGGACCGCATATATGGTGTATATATATATATATATATATATATATATGTACATATATATATGGTGTATACACACACACACACACACACACACACACACACACACTCAGAAATAAACACACACATGCGCACATCTGAGGGAAGCAAGGAGGAGGACACAGAATCAGAGGGAAACGGGAAAACAGACAACAGAGGGGCCCGTGAGCTGCACTGGACATTGATGAAAGTGAACTAAACAACTCAAAGGCAGCAATGAGAGGGAGGGAATGAGAGGGAAAGAGGGAACAGCTTACACTAAGCAAAAGGAAAGAAATGTACATGTCACCTGATGTGGAAGAAATAGTTGTATTGTCAAAGCTCACAGACTTCACAAACTTTATAGACCACAATAATGACAATTTGCTTCATGAAGGTTAGAATGTGTTTGTGACTTTAACTAAGTATCACTATCTCACAATACTGTGAAATTTATGTAATCACTTAATCTCAATAAAAAGTTATAAAAAAAGAAAAATAGATTCAATTTTTACCCAAAATAAAATAAATCCCTTCTGCTAATATGTATGTGCATGTGTGCACATGTACACATGAGCACATTTTAGTTCATAGAAAACTAAGCATGCCAACCTTTAAAAGCAGACTATTTACAAGTGTTTCTGAGTAGCATGGACATATGCTAGTCATACTGGTTACTAGCTTTCTGTGAATATATCTAGATTTATTGTTTTAAATTCTGAACTTTGGAACATTTGTCAACTTTTGGTTCACAATAGTTTTACAAAAAGCCACACACCATGCTTTGTCATTTCAAAGGCAAATTGGTCAAGTACCTTCTAGAGGACACTGATGAGTGTTTCATTTATTGATCTATCGGGACTAGAAAGACAATGACAGTTACACAGTATCTAGCACTCCAATCATCTTTTTCACTAGTAGCAACATTAATGTGAAGAGAGGGTTGGAAACAAGTCACAAAGGAATCAATTGACCCTTTTACTACAGATATGAACCTTGGTGCAGGATGCTAGGAACTAGTGCTGCCATCTAGCTGTCATCACCTTGTTGGATAGGTTTTCAGAGTTCAGAGGCTGGGCGGCTGTTGGTATTAACTTCCTAACTTATAATTCATCTTTTAACTTAGGAAGCTTGGGGAGCCAGGACCAGATACATGACTGCTGAGTTAGCTGCAGATTTTATATCTACAATCTGTTCTGGAAAAAAGAATTGAGTTATTTACCAGTGGCCCCTCTCCAGATCTCCCCTACCCAGTGGGAATTGGATGAGAGGCAGCATTCCATGGATCATGGTACTTACTCAGTATAGGCCTTCTACTACACGTAGCTACTGAATATGGGATCTTCCAGTGCTTACCTGCTATCAAGCTTCAGAGTGGGTCTTCCACCTGTGAAAGCTGAAGGAAGTGGAACACCAACTGTTGCCACGTTCATTTTAACAGCTGTCCCACAAGGCATGGGTACAATACTGAGTTCAAATGCCGTGGCCTCCCAGTATGCTTACTGAGTTCCCATAGGTTTTGTTGGATAAGGGTTCTTGAGTTTAGCATACTCATTGATAAATCTCCAGAGGTTTTTGTTTTGTTTTCTGTTTTTGTTTTTGTCTGTCATGGGGCCTGAACTCTAGGCCTGGGCGCTGTCCCTCAGCTCTTCAGCTCAAAGCTACCACTCTACCACCTGAGCCATAGTGCCACTTCTGGCTCTTTCTGCTTATGTGGTGCTGAGGAACCGAACCCAGGGCCTCATGAATGCAAGGCAAGCACTCTTCCACTAAGCCACCTTCCCAGGCCCTAAATTTCCAGAGATTTTAAATGATTATAAATTTTTACCTGGGTCAGCATCTAGACTACCCAGAGAATCTCTTTGGTAGAAAAATTTCCCCTCTATATGCCCTCAAAATATTTTTGGAAATTTGTTTTATTTCAAAGCTTCAGTGGACTCTAAAGCCTCATAGTCTTTTGCCAGCTTTCTTGTTGGTTGTCACTCTTTCCTACAGATGTGGTTGATACATGTCTTGGTTCATGTCAGGTCATTTTCTAACCATTGAAATAATCACACCAATCTTCCTAGTAAATATATGCTTTCTGATATACTCTTCTTTTTCATTTTTTTTATCTTTAAGTAGTTGTACAAAGAAGTTCCCATTCTACTAAAGATATTTTCTAGTTTTTATAAAAACACTCATACTTCATTTATACTTTATTTTAAACTTTTCTAGAAAAACAACACATATAAAGTATCACTTTGTAATACTTCCCTTTTGTAGATTAGTGTTAAAATATTTTATTTTTGGTGATATTGTGCTGCTTTTCAGTAAAGAAATGATCAGCTTTCTGGGTGCTGGTGGTTCATGTCTGTAATTCTAGCTATGCAGGAGGCTGAGATCTGAAGATTGCAGTTCAAAGCCAGCCCTGGCAGAAAACTCCCCGTTAGACTTTTATCTCCAATCAACCACTCAAAAACTAGAAGTGGAAACTGTGGCTCAAAGTGGTAGAGTGCTAGCCTTGAAGGAAGAAGCTCAGGGACAGTGCCCAGGCCCTGAGTTCAAGCTCCACACACACACACAAAGATCAGCTCCACAATGCTAAATATTTGAAAAAGTTTTCTTTGTTCAGATTAGCATTTCAGGTATATTTTTAGCACAAAACTTCATAATTATATTATTTTAAAACGAAATACATTTGTTAACTTCATTTGCATTGAAAAAATTTTTGGTTCTTTTGAGTACCAACTCAGCGGGAGTAACTCCAGCTGGCCTGGAATTTTCAATCACATCCAAGGTTGGCCTTGAACTAAAGATCCTCTGGCCTCAGCCTCCTGAGTGTGTGGGGATTATGGGCATGTTCCCCAACACCTGTCTCATATATAATTTGTTTTTATTTGTTTTATTTGTTCTTACTGTTCATATTTCAAGCCTCCAAAATTACCAGATGACAATTGGAATTTATTGGAAAAGTATTAGAAGCAAAGATTACAGAAAGAATTTACTTACTTGGATACACAGCCATCAAACATTCCAGTGTTGATAAGAAAAGGACAAATAATGGTGGTTTTAATGTTAGTTTTCTTGATCAGATCTAATTCAAAGAAGAGAGACTCAGCAAAACCAATGGCTGCAAATTTAGTTGCACAATAATCTGAAACAAAGTAGAGAGCAATAATCTGAAACAAAGTAGAGAGCTTCATAAGTTAATTTTGGGGATTTTTTAAATTTATTTTTTTATTGTCAAGGTGATGTACAGAAGGGTTACAGTTACACAAGTAAGGTAAAAAGTATACTTCTCATCAAACTTGTTACTCTATCCCTCATTTTTCTCCCACTTTCCCTCCCCCTCAATCCCTCCTACCAAGTTGGATAGATCATTTCCAACATATTGTCTCGTGTATATTGCTGTTGTATTGGTTCCCCCTTGGTCCTTTGTCTCACCATTTTATTGTTCCCCTTCCATTCCCTAATTCAGATATATATACACACACACACAATACCCAGAGTACCCAAATCAAATACAGTGACAATAGGGGATAAACCATAGGGGGAAGAACACACCAAAGAAACAAGACATCACATAGTACATTAAACAACAACAACAACAACAAACCTCTTGTGTTCATGTCTTAGAGTTCATTTCACTTAGCATCATCTTATATGGTCATATGTATGTAGCTATTGAGCTATTCTGCTCATCTGATAAGATTATCCTAGACTTATGCTAGTTATTGCAAATAAAGGAAACCATGGGACCTATGTTTCTTTGGGTCTGGCTTACTTCACTTAATGTGATTTTTTTCCAAGACTTTCCATTTCCTAACAAATGGGGCAGTGTCATTCTTTCTAATGGAAGCTTAGAATTCCATTGTGTGTGTGTGTGTGTGTGTGTGTGTGCGTGTGTGTGTATCACATTTCCTTGATCCATTCATCTACTGAGGGGCATCTGTGTTGGTTCCATATCTTAACTATGGTGAATAATCATGCAATAAACATAGCTGTACTGGTAGCTTTAGTGTGGACTTGTTTGTGGTCATTTGGGTAAGGTAAATGCCCAGAAGTGGGATTGCTGGGTCATAGAGGAGCTCTCTGTGGAGTCTTTTGAGGAACCTCCATACTGCTTTCCAGAGTGGTTGAACAAGTTTACACTCCCACCAATAGTGTAGTAGGGTTCCCTTTTGGCCACATCCCTTCCAGTATCTGTTGTTATTAGATTTCTTGATTATAGACATTCTAACTGCATGAGGTAGAATCTCAATGTTGTTTTGATTTGCATTTCTTTTATGGCCAGAGAAGTTGAATATTTTTTCATGTGTCTATTGGCCATTCTTCTTTCCTCTTCAGAGAAGACTCTCTTTAAGTCTTTAGTCCACTTATTAATCAGGCAGTTGTTTCTTTGAGGATTTGTTGTTGGGGGATTTAATTTTTTGAATTCTAAATATATTTTAGATATGAGGCCCTTGTCTGTTGTATGGCTAGTGAAGATCTTCTTTTGGGAATTATTTTTAAAAATCTTTTTTTTCAGCAGGGCACTGGTGGCTTATGTCTGTAATCTTATCTACTCAGGAGGCTGAGATCTGAGGATCACAGTTCAAAGCCAGCCTGGGCAGAAAAGTCTGTGATACTCTTATCTCCAATAAACCACAGAAAACTGGAAGTGGTTCTGTGGCTCAAGTGGCAGAGTGCTATCCTTGAGCTGAAGAGCTGAGGGACAGAGCCCAGGCCCAGAGTTCAAGCCCCACAACCAAGAAAAAAAAATTTTTAAGTCATTCATGTTGGCCAAATTCCCATGCTTATATCTCCCTTTGATATACCAAATGAGAAGGCAGAAATCTTTTCATTCCTCCTTAACACAAGAACACGGAATCAATAGATAAATTCTTCTCTTGCTAAAAGAGGAAAGTATCTTTCCTTACATTGCTATTATAGATAAGGCTATAGAAAGAGCTAAATGTTATAAATAGGGCTAAATGTATAAATAGAGCTAAATGTTCTCCTTGGTTCAGGAAGAGCTTCTCTCTATCTTTAAACAGTCCTAATTTCTGGGTACTGTCGACAGAGTAAAAGCAAAAGCACGTCGAATGAAGTACTCACCTGATAATCCATTAAGTCCAATTGTTCCTGCTAGGCTTGAAATGCAGACCAAGTGACCATGGTTAGCCTCAATCATGGCAGGGAGGAAGGCCTTGTAAGTCTAAAAGACATACTTTTTTTATATTTATGGTTGACTAAAAAAACTTAGCATTTAATTTTTCTAATACCAAGAGCTCTTTTCTGAAATTTTTATGAAAATTTAACTGCTCTTATCTGATAGAGTTTACATAATGAGGATTTGCCCCTCACCTATCTGGGTTAATGGAATGGGATACAGTGCTTGAGGTAACTGAGTTTTAGTGGAAGCTTCACTCGCCCTGGTAATTGCATGCTCATATGTAATCTCAGGAAAAATTTTCATTCTTTCTCCCCTAATACCAAGTTCTTTTTTCTAAACCTTGTTCATAGTTACCAAATCCTTTCAATGAGGAAGAGCTATTTGCAAGACTTTTTTTAAAAATCAAAATAGAACATTTTCCAACAAAATTTTCTGAAGGTGATCTATCTCTCTGCAACAATGTGACTTTGACTAGCAATGATTAGGGTCTAGGCATTCATGACCATGAAAACTCAGAGGTAAACATTCAGAACACTAGATAAGTATGTACTTTTTGGCTTAACAGGAAAGACAAAGTAAAGGTAAGAATTATACCCACTAATTTCACCATTCCTTTCCAATGATTATAAAACCAAAATGTTTCATATCATCATGTTGTCAACTATGTCATTCTGATGTAAAAGTTTGACAATGATCATCATCAATTTCTAAGATATTTACAACCTAAACAATGTCAGCATTTCACCTACAGAGAGCAGCCACTTGATCAAAGAATAGCATCTTTACCATACAAATTATCTTGTCTTCATCACCCTTGCTCTATAATTGCGGAGCAAATGGCTGAATTTCTGCTTGGATGCTGACCATTTTCTTTTTTCTTGTCAGTTATGGGGCTTGAACTCAGGGCCTGCATGCTGTCTCTGAGCTTTTTCATTCAAGGTTAGTGCTCTACCACTCTGAGTGCCACAGCTCCACTTCTAGCTTTTTAGTGGTTAGTTGGAGTTTCATGGCGTAATTGTAACCCCTCTGTACAGTATTTTCACAATAAAAAAAAAGAGTTTCATGGCTTTTCTGGATCTCAACCTTCTGAATACCTAGCATTTCAGGCAAAAGCTACCAGCACCCAACTTATTTTGGGGTCGCCTCCTCCTCCTCCTCCTCATGCTCCTCCTCCTCCTCCTCCTGCTCCTCCTCTTTCTTCATGTCCTCCTTCCTCTTCTGGGCCTGGGTATTATCCCCGAGCTTCTTTTGCTCAAGGCTAGCATTCTACCACTTGAGCCACAGCACCACTTCCAGCCTCTTCTGCTTATGTGGTGCTCAGGAATTGAACCCAGGGCTTCACGCGTGCTAGGCAAGCACTCTACCACTAAGCCACATTCCCAGTCCTATTTGGGGCACTGAACTATCCAAGCTAATGCCTTCACTTAACATTCACAATGTGGCCATTAGTAGGAAGAAGGATTCTAGAAATGATGAAATGGTATTGGTTTCTCCATATTTCTTAATTAGCCTTATTTTAGGTCCTCCTGTGAGGAAATTTGGCCTTTTCCTTGCTAAATGTATTAATGTAGATATTTCATTAGATATTTGTGTGGATGGATAGAAAGGCTCAGATGATTTGTCAGTGTTTTCATTGAAGTAATTGGCCAAAATCCTCATAAAATAATATCGTACACCCTAAAACACTCTGCTTTCTTTAATCTGACATTGTAAGATATTGAAGTAGCAGTAAGAAGTCTCTGGCTTTCCTCATTTGCCTGACCCCATGTTTTAAAAAGACATGAATGAACACACTTGAAATTGTGTTATGGCTTGGGTTGTGCTAGGAGTGGACTCATTGGTGTGGATTTTCCAGTGTGAGATGACATTTATGTGATAAGAAGATGGCTACATAAAAGCATACCTCCAGCAGGACTGAACAGAAGAGAATTGATTATATAGTCATTTCTTGATATCAGAGAGGGGATTGGTTCCAGGATCCCTCTCCCCATACCCAAATCCAAGGCTACCCAAGTCTTTTAAACAACCTGATGAATTATTTGCACAGAAGCTGCACCTGTCCGCCTGTATATTTGTAAGAATCCAGTTTTCCATTTGTCAACCCCCACCCCCAGTCTCATATCTCTATGCTGTCCACCTGGTCCTGACCATCAGCTGAAGAATATCCCTACCCCTAATGATCTTTGAGCTTCTGTAAGCTGCCACGTGCATGTGGTTCTGGTCTTTATAAAACCTGCCCTGTTGGAGGTGTTGCTGCTCTTAGTTCTGATCTTAGCCCAAGGCAAGGCAGTTACCGGCCAGCCAAATAAAAGTCATTCATCACCTTTGACTGTGCCTCTATGGATTTTCTCAGACTCCAAGATCATTATGTGTTTTAAATTACCTTTACATGACTATCATGTACAGTACAATGCCATTGTTCTGCCAACAGTTGTATTGCATTAGTTCGGAAATAATACAGGTACAATACAACAGTACAGGTACAATGACCTGTTTAAGTGTTATCAATTTGCAATTGATTTAATTGATTATAAAAGTAGGCCAGTGACTCTGCAAGGCCTGACAAATGTGGAGAAACTTCTGTGTGAAACAAGAAAAACAAGACTTGTCAGAGACAGAACCGCTTGTGAGAAAGGGCTCTGAGGACCTTGGGAGGATTGAGTGTGCACAGAGCCAGATAGAGAACATTTCCATGGGCAAAGTCAGTTCTCTTGGTCATTATTGTTATTTTTAGTTATTGTCGGTGAACGCTGTAGGGCTGGATTATAGAATCATCGAGGGCCACTTAAATATGGTTGGTGTTCTGCTATTTAATGAGTATATGAGAAAGCCTTTGTCTTTCTTCTTCATCTATTTCTAATTCTTTAGTAAGATATACTTATGCAAACTGAAATACAAGTATTTTTGAATGGCAAGAACAGGTCTTCTTTTGCCCAGGATATAATTAAAGAGCTTCAGAGAGCAACCACAGTACTGATATATCACATTTAACAGAATAAATATATGACAAGCCCACTCTTGAAGAACAACGGTTATAGTTTACAGGTGGAACTAATAGCTATGAGCTATTTTCCAAGGGAACTGAATCCAACCTGTTCTGTAGCTCACTGCCCTTTCTTCTGACTCATGGTTAGTAAGGGAGGCCATTGCTTGGCAGGCCAGGCACTATCGTGGATTTGAGAGAAGAAAATTTCTCACTAGAAGTACTGCAAGCAAAACCTGTGCAGACACATTTCCTGAGTTTGCTTTACTAGCTTAGAAAAAAAATACAACTTCTCCCAATACTGTTTTGTTTTGTTTTGTCTAAGAGAGACAGGAACTTGGTATCTAATGTGTTTTCTCATTGGTTGGCGTTCTAACATCTGAGCCATGCCTCCAACCTCTAGTCTCCCCAATTCTAGTAGTGAATGGAGATTCTTCCCTCAATTTTCAGCTAGGAGTCAATTCCCTGACTCAGAGTCACTCAGAAGCATGTCTCTAAATGTGCTGACATAGACTAAGAAGGCTTGTATGTGTTTACTGATATAGTGTTTTAGTGTTAACTTTGTGAACGATTCAAAACCAGCAACTGAATCAACACACATTATAAAAGTAGACCAGTGACTTCTGCAAGGCCTGACAAATGTGAAGAAACTCCTGTGTGAAGCAAGAGAAACAAAACTTGTCAGAGGGGGGATGGGAAGGTGTCTCAGTGGTAGAGCGCTTGCCTTGTATGCATGAGGCCCTGGGTTCGATTCCTCAGCACCACATAAGCAAAAAGAAAAAAGCTGGTGCTGTGGCTCAAGTGGTAGAGCGCTAGCCTTGAGCTGAAGAGCTGAGGGACAGCACCCAGGCCCAGAGTTCAGGCCCCACAACCAGACTCCCCCCAAAAAACAAAACAAAACAAAACTTGTCAGAGACAGAATGGCTTGTGAGAAAGGGCTCTGGGGTTTCATCAGGCCCTTGGGAGAATTAAATGTGTACAGAGCCAGATAGAGAACATTTCCATTGTCAAAGTCAGTTGTCTTTGTTATTATTGTTATTTTCTTATTGTTATTTTTAGTTATTTTGTAATTAAAAATGAGCTTTAAGAAGTTGCACAAAGGGATCCTGTATCGAATGAACAGTGCTGTAGCCATTCCACACCTCAGGGGGTCACTCCTGAGACATAGTACTAATTTCCCTTCTGCAAAGTATTTTTCCTTTCTCCCTTCTTCCCTTTATAATATTTTATAATACCATTTAGCAGGTGCTTGATCTTGAGGAACTCATTTAGATACTCGAGACCTTAGTTACTTTATTTGTAGCATGAGAATAAAAATAGTACTATGGCTATAAGTGCAGATAGAGAGCCCGCACCAAATAAACACTGGTTATTTTTTTCTCCCACCTTCCTTTCCTTCTTGCCTATGTTGTTAGCATGTACTCAGACCACCACCATTCTAAAAATAAGCCCTCCTTCTGCAGAAACTCCTGTTTCACCCATGGCTATGTTAAACCACTTGTGTACAATTGCTGGGACATTTCAAGTTGCATTAGTGTAGGAAGATTTCTGCACTAGCCTAATAAAAGTCTTGGAAAAAAAAAAAAAAAAGAAATGTACTCATTATCTTGCCCATGTAATTGTAACCCCTCTGTATGGTATTTTCACAATAAAAAAATAAACCTTTTCAGTCAGAAAAAAAAAATAAAATAAAAGTCTTGGGAGCAAAGTGGAATGGGTAGAAAAGAGATAATTCCTTGCAAATTTGGAATAGGGAAAGACAAAGAAAAGTCAAATTCGGTGTGGTGGGGTGATAGTTATCTAGAATGAGACCCCGACAACCTAATGGTAGGAAATTCACCAATTGGTATATAGATGCATTGTTTATAGAAATGCATGGGATTTTTCCATACTCACAGAAAAGCAAACAAGAAAGATTTACCCAGAAATGAGAGAGGGCATTGACTGCAAAAGATTTTTCTATCATGTCATCCGGTATGTCAAGGAAGTTCTTCCCTGTTACAATGCCAGCATTGTTAATGAGTATGGTCACATTGCCAACTTCTTCTCTCACCTGGCCAGAAGTGAGGCAAACATTCAATCAGTTGAGGTGGTGCATTTAGATACGTACTTTCCTAAATCACTTCCCTTCCCCCCACCCCGATTCTATTTGGGTTCAGACATGCAGAACATAATAAGGGGTTCTTATACTCTGGCTTGCTGTATGACCCCCACTGTTATCAGCTACCAGAAACCAAGGATAGTCTCTAAATACTGGAACTTTCTGGAATTATTCACATTAACTAATTACAAACCAGTTTGTGCACCAAGTGTTCTTTCCTGTGGAAACCATGATAAAGTCGCGTGTCTGGCGTGCCCACACGTGGTGTGGCACATGGCCCGCTCTGTGCCTCCCTTTGTGGCCCTGCTTGCTGCACCATGCTCTCCCAGGCGACTGTGAGTAAAGCGAAGCAGGAAGGTTCTGGCCTGGCCCTGTCTCTTGATCTGCGTATGGCACACTCTTCACACGATTTGTATCTGAAATGCTCCCCTGAAGCTTTTACTCAGGGTTGGTAGAGTACGTTACTATACAACCTCAGCTATTAGTCTTAGAGAATTTATCAGTATTTAGCATGAAATTAACAGGTGTCAGTGGATTAAACCTAATAGGAAACTTGGCTTAAAAATGGGCTAATTACTGGGCACCAGTGACTCATGCCTGTAATCCTAGCTATACAGGAGGCTGAGATCTGAGGATCACAAATAGAAGCCAGCCTGGGCAGGAAAGTCTGTGAGACTCGTATCCCAAATTAACCACCAAAAAGCCAGAAATGGAGCTGTGGTTCAAATGGTACAGTGTTAGCCTTGAGCAAAACAGCTCAATGTCAGTGCTCAGGCCTTGAGTTCAAACCCCAGGATGGGTACACACACACACACACACACACACACACACACACACACACACACACACACACACACACACACACACACACACAGAGTTAATTGCTTTTACCCTATGCTTCACACTCTGTTTTCAGAATTTGATGATGATGTTATTGTCATGACTCTTTCTTTCTCTTTCTTTCTTTCTTTCTTTCTTTCTTTCTTTCTTTCTTTCTTTCTTTCTTTCTTTCTTTCTTTCTTTCTTTCTTTCTTTCTTTCTCTCTCTTTTTACTTCCTTCCTTCCTTCCTTCCTTCTTCCCTTTCTTCCTTTTCTCTCCCTTTGCTGATACTGGAGATTGAACTCAGGGCCTGGGCACTATCCCTTAAGCTTTTTTTCTCAAGGCTGTGTTCTACCACTTGAGCCATAGCTTCACTTCTGGATTTTTTGTGGTTACTTGGAGATAAGAGTCTCATGGTCTTTCCTGCCTGGGGTGGCTTCAAACTGTAATCCTCAGATGTTAACCTCCCAACTAACTAAAATTATAAACATTATATTATAAATATATAATATACTAATTATAAAATTATACAGATGAATCACTGGTGCCCAGCTTAGAGGACATGATTTCTGACATGCAAAATCAATATGAAGACACACAAAGATGTTGGGGGAAATCTTCTGACAGCCTATTTTTGTAAAAGTGAATAGTAGATGCAGCATTTTGGGGCACTGAACATGAGTCAGCTTACCTGAGCAGCAACTTGGTAGACCTCTTGCCTTTTGCTACAGTCACAGGTATAGGCAAAGATTTTCACATTATTCATTTCTTTGACCAGTCTACACGTCTCCTTATTGCCTTCTTCATTAATGTCCCAAAGAACTATAATGGCTCCCAAGGTGGCAAAATGGATGGCCAATTGTCTCCCAAGTCCACTTCCACCTCCTGTTATGAGGACAATCTCTCCAGCAACATCCTTTCTTTTCGGTGGAATTATCTTAAAAGTGAAAGCTTCTAAAAAGTAGTACAGACATTTTCCCCCAAAACTGATGGTGTCCACTATCACATCCATGCTGAGTAAAGAAAGCAATATTTTGTAATCAAAGGATAGATGTAAGGTAGTGAATTCACTCCATTACAACTGCAGTCCAAATGAGTCATTTGGTAGGACAATTTATCTTTTAAATTTTAAAATAGCTATTATAAAGGTGGTATACAGTGGGGTTTAGTTTCATTAAATCAGGTAAGGAGGACATTTCTTTTTGCACAATGTCACCCCTTCCTTCACTCTCTTCCAGTTTTCCCCTCTCATCCCTGCCCACAAGTTGTATAGTTCATTTTCAACATAGAGCCTACTGAGGGTCAATTTATCTTTGAGTTGATGTTTCTCCAAGATATGTCTATACATCTATAAGCTTATTATATATTTATTATATATAAGCTTATTATCTATAGATATATATTTCTATATCTCTAAGGTTTAGCAACAATTGCTAAAATTAGTATTTTGGAATAGTGTAAGCAATGATTATAAAAATGTTTTATGTTAACACTTCCTTTTTTTTAAAGCACTTTCTTACCCTTAATCTAATTGACTGATTTATGGGTCACAGATCACCAGGACAGCTTTATAGATAAAGGTTATTATCTTTGTGCCTTGACTCAACCAGCTTGTGCAGTGAATAATCAAAGCTTTTGGATTCCCTGTCTTTATTCACTACATGAACACATGGGCTGACCTTATATATAATAGGAATTTACCTTTTATTAGGCAAACTTTAATAGTAAAAATTAATGTTATTGTACACATATAGATATATATATTGTACACATATAGATACACATTAGATATTTTCACCTGCTCCCTACAATGTGTAATTGCAGGGAGGTTTAATTTCACAGGTGTAATGATTGCTATTTGATAATGAGAACACTTAAATAAATTCTGAGTGGGCTTCATTTAAATTCACACAGTTGTCAGGTCCTAATATTAGCAAGATTAGTATCAAGAACAGAAGTTACTTTAGTGTAAGTTCTGATCCCTGCCTTTCCAATGCACCTTTCTTAAAATGAGGGTCTTCTTTTTTAGAGCTATCTGTTGGAAAAATCGATTTTTGTATTTAATAGTACTTCCTTGATTTTTTGATAATTATATTCTTGAATTATTATTTTTTTTGTTGGGCATGAGTGCTGTCCCTCAGCTCTTCAGCTCAAGGCGAGCGCTCTTCTACCACTTGAGCTACAGCGCTCCTTCTGGTTTTCTGGTGGTTTATTGGAGATAAGAGTTTTGTGGACTTTCCTGCCCCAGCTGGCTTTAAACCACGATCCTCAGATCTCAGCCTCCTGAGTAGCTAGGATTATAGGTGTGAGCCACTGGTGCCCAGCTTCTTGAACATTCTTACACAATCATTTTACGTAGAAATATCCAAAATCTATATTAGAACTGGCTGGAGCAATTTGAGACAAATTACGACTACTGTCATGATACTAAAAATGACAATAGGAACAATGGTATTTCACTACCAATGTTGTTAATATTATGGATATCTTTTCATATGCCAGGTAAATTCTAAGTGCTCATTGTGTATCAAGTGAGGATTGTCTGTACAAGACTTTCCCAAAGGAGTTGAGAGAACAGGCACTAAGAAGCTAAAGAAAGCAACTTATCATCACAATAACAAACAGTGGGATGGACTTCATGGTCCACTCCAAGCTCTTAAATGCTAGAACTAATATAGCACTATAACTAATATAGAAGTTGATTCTGATAAAAAGAATTCTCTTATGGAAGTGTTAAAAAAAAGAAAAAGAAAGAAAGAAAAGGCCAGGTGCTCATAATCCTAGTTACTCAGGTGGCTGAAATCTGAGGATCATGGTTTGAAGCCAGCCTAGGCAATAAAAAAAAAAAATCTATGAGATTCTTTAATTAATCACCAAAAAAACAAAAAACAAAACACAAAAAAACACAAGCCAAGAGTGGAGCTGTGCTCAAGCAAAAAAGCAAAAAAGTCTTAAAGCAAAAAGGCAGGCCCTGAGCTCAAGTCTCAAGATGAGCACCAGAAAATTGGCTACCTAAGTTTTTCATCTTCAATCACTCAGGGATTAACTTTGAGATGTCCCTGGCGCAGCACTGAGGGCATTAAAGGTTATTATCCTTGTTATTAGCCCATTCTGCAAGAGATAAAAATAGAGGAGCTTTCTCCCCACCACTCAAAACATAAATGGAAATACTAATGTTGTTCCAGAAGTGAAGAAAAAAGATACATTAGGTTCCAAATTTTGGATATTGAGTCTTAACCATGCTAAATTAATATCTCTTCTCTTGAGAACAAGTGTCTAGTTCAAGAGCCCAGCAAAACACTGGGCTGCTCTATGGTAAGTAGTGAAGGTCTAACCTACAGGGCTTGGTCTGGGCTTGTCTAATTAACAGGGAGTATGGTTCTCAGTAGGAGAGCAGAGAAAAATAGACAGATGATTACATTAAAATTTTTCTAGAAGGCTACAGGCAAGAAAAAGTTGAATTGAAGCAAGGTAATTGCATATCTCTTCCATGAGCCTATCTGAATTTATTGAGAATACTCATTCTATTCTAAAAGGTTTTATCCTTAGAAAATTTTAGAGACTTCCACTTACCTTAATGTTCTTTAAGAGTTAATGTAGATTTCAATTTTCTAATCAGGAAAGAGAGCTAGTGTTAGAGAACTTGTTTGTTTTCCAAGCTTATATAGAGTTTTTCTGTGTCAGGCATATCCTTCAATGATCATTTAGCAGTGATGAAATAAAACCAGATCTTATCATCTACAAAAAGTAAGTACAGGAACAATGGAGAAGGTGTTCTGGGACAACAGAAAGTGAGGACAGTCTTTTCCTCCTGCCTTCTTTATATAAAAGGGGCTAGGAATGTGGCTTAGTGGTAGAGTGCTTGCCTAGCATTCATGGAGCCCTGGGTTCAATTCTTTAGTACCACCTAAACAGAAAAAGCCAGAAGTGGCGCTCTGTCTCAAGTGGTTGGGCACTAGCCTTGAGCACAGAGAGCTAAGGGACAGAGCCCAGCCCTGAATTCAAGTCCTAGGACCAGCAAAAAAAAAAAAAAATACAAAAGAAAGGTATATGATTTTATTTTGAAAGAAATTTAAATAGCTTGTAGTGATAATTATTAAAATTTAGGAATATATTGGTCTATCTGTCAGTCTCTCTATATTTATCTGTCAATCGTCTATCACTCTATCACTTAATCACTCCACTCTATCTCTCATCTAATCTAATCTATCTATCTATCTGTCTGTCTGTCTGTCTGTCTATCTGTGTGAGTGAACTAAGGGTCTTGAACTCTGGGTACTCTTCCAAGCCATACCTCAACTTTAAGCCTTTTGATGGTTAGTTGAAGATCAAAATCTTGGGAATTTTTCTGCTGGGCTGGATCCAAACCATGATCTTTAGATCTCAGCCTCCTGATTAGCTAGGATTACAGGTATAAGCTACCAATGCCTAGCAAATTTTAGCAATGTTTATTTATGCTTGGGAACCACTGGAGGACAAAGTTTTGATAGTTTTTGAATCATGTGTTGTCTAAATGATCACTAAATAGACTACTGAAGGCATTTTATTTTGGAACAAAGGAACAAACTATATTTGAACTATAGTAGTGTTCATCAGAAAGATTATTGCTCCCAAGAGGGTATGTTGGCAGTTGGGACACTTATAGAATGTTAGATTGGGAAAAAGTTGTTCCAGTATCAAACAGTACTCTGTGGTTTTCATGCCTTAGTTTCATTTAAGCCTAGAATAGCCCTGTAAGAATGGGGGTAGAGGGAAGGGGGGGGCTTGGAGTGTGGAGATGTATCTTGCCAGCAGTTACATCATTTATAAACTAGAACTGTGATTAGAATTCAAGTTTGATTCCAGAAACTCTCTTCCTCTGACCACTATTCAAGGAACTTCCCTGAATATTTTAGTTAAGTGATATTTGAAACCCAAGAATTTCCCTTCAGTTTTCAGACATGTGATCCCTTCTGAGAATGAAGTTGGTAAACATCACTGTCACACAAATCTTATAAGCAGAATGAGTAGAATTCAGATTTGCAAGCACGGATTCACGGACTGGCTCTGGTGTTAGTTGGTGAACACTTTATCAAATCATCCCTTACATCACTGAAGTGAGCACTATATACCTCCAAGAATACCTAACATAGCCAAATAAAAATGAAGCAAGCAGTTTGCAAATTGCAAAATACTAGCAACCATTAGTTTTTGTCCCTTGCACAACAGCCTCTTGACAATGACAGTTTGCATACATACAGATGTTCATCCTCAAAATCTGGAAAGCTTGGGGCTGGGAAGGTAGCTCAGTGGTAGAGTGCTTGCCTTGCATGCATGAGGCCCTGGGTTTGATTCCTCAGCACCATATAAGCAGAAAAGTCCTAAGTGGCACTGTGGCTCAAGTGGTATAGTGCTAGCCTTGAGCTCAGCGCCCAGGCCCAGAGTTCAGGCCTCACAAACGACCGAAAAAAAAAATCTGGAAAGCTTTTCTCTGTGGTTTAGGGCTATGTCTCAATCATGAACCTGCTGAGGGGGACTTTTAAGTAGGGTTTGCATCTTGCACCAGAGATAATTGACGTCCCATTTTTGATGTGTACTGTTGGTAAGTGTGAGAACCCCTTGAGAGGCCAAATGCAGGCAGTCCTGTACTTGTGCACTGGAACACACAAGCTTTTCATCCCTCTCAGCATTCTCCCTTGATCTTTCAGCACATATTCCCCTCGATCTAACAGAAGCTGTAAAACCAAAATAAAGATATTAAAAAAGAAGAATAAAAAGCTGGGTACTGGTGACCCATGCTTGTAATTGTATCTAGGATCTAATGATCCTAGTTCAACTATGAGAGACTCTTTATCTTCAGTCAACCAGTAAAAAGTCAGAAGTAGAGTTGTGACTCAAGGGGTAGAGCACCAGTCATGAGTCAAAAAGCCAAGCAAGAATGTGAGGCTCTGAGTCTAAGCCTAATTATGAGCACACACAAAAACAAAAGAAGAAGAAAAAGAGAATAGAAGTGCTGGCAATGAGAACAGAATC